GTTATATAAAAAATATACTGTGCGCGTCGCTTCTAGAATTGGCTTTAGGAATCGTTGTTGACATACCGTTTTGGTAATTATTGTGAAGTTATTGTAATATTACATCAACGTCCTGAAAGAAGATACTGAATACACACTTGCACACTGTCTCCTGAATATGGTAATGAAAGCACTTGTATTTCATACTTGGCGCAGTAATCGGGCAATTTCGAAGGCTATATAAACCCGGCTGAAGCTAGCCTTTCTACATCCGCATTACGCGTTCAGCGATATTTATCATGCCCTTATATATATTTCACACATATTTCACCCAGCGTAGAATTAAAGTGCATGTATACGCTCCTCATCGAAAATTCAAAGAAACGCGTTATAGACTTTGCGGCCGAATACTGATGTAGTTCTCGCGAGGGAAATGAATCCGCGCAAAAAGACTTCCTCTGCCGAGATTATTCGCGAGTTACTCTCCAAGATGAATAGTCTGATATGTCGATTCATTACCTAACTGGACGCCATGACACCTAGGGATACGTCACCTAACAGCCCCCCCCCCTCCTTGCGTCGCTGAGGGCGTGCTGGAAAATGGGAGGGGGGGGGGCTGTAATTATCGCACATTATAAGTGCGGAAATTTACTGATGCGAAAATACATGAGCGAGAAGGGGCTTGTGTAATCTAAACATAATTTAGACCTAGGTTCTGGCTGCGTATTGAATGATTAATAGCTATCAATGCTCTATGAAGCCAGGACAAAAAGGTTTGCGCACGCGGCGCGAGTGGAACGTAAAAAAATTCGGCTAATTTCTTTTTCGTGGAAAAACGTGTAGAAAGGATAAAATATGTAAGGCGCGTCGCGTGTTATCATGAAAAATTGATCATGTACATGTGTGCGTTTAATTTTTGCATGAAAGGCTATCGATCGCTGGCCCACAAGACTCCCTGCCTGCATTGTCTTTATCGAAAATAAATTAGTCTGCATCGTTTAATCGATGGCCGACAGCACTCCTACCTAGCATCTACAAGGGCGTAACAATACACACAGACGCCGACGATGACGACGACGACGAAAAGGATGACGACGACGACGACGAAAACGATGACGACGATGACAATGATTACGAAGCTGATGACGAAGACAACAACAACGACGATGACGATGATGATACTAATGACGATGACGGTGACGACGACGAAGATGATAATAAAAATAAATGAATAATTTTCTTTAAAAAAAAATGCTGACGCGCAGATGCGTAATTTATATGCTGGTTTTCACGCGACGGTTGCGTGTCGTCATGAACGATTATTCTTAATATAATATAATTATATAATATGATGATGATATGCTTGACGATACGCGTGACTATTATTAGCTAAAGATTACAATACTGTACGAGTACACATCACGTTCCTAAATTGACAGCGATATACCTCTTCACAGTTAATTCATCAGTGATTGGGCCCATGATCTTTTAATCACTTGGTGGCATAATATAGTTATAATAACGTATAAATATTGAACTCACCAAAGTTGGAAAAACTACAAATTCATTTTCAGTAGGTATCGTGCATGTGAATATTACACGTTACGCTTATATGCGTTGTCGGAAGAAGACGACGTTTTTTCAAAACAGCTTTGATCCCGCACGTATAACGAAATCACGCAAAGGCACTTTGAAATGGCAACAACCCGAAATGAATACGAATATGATATTCGCATTAATATTTATTCGGTTTCCCATATTCGGGCATTAGTGGGTTACGCGTGAGAACGCGTCGCATCATTTATTTTGTGTCGGGCTTTTAAAAGATTACTCCTGTACATTTTGACTTCTACAGAGAGAGAGAGAGAGAGAGAGAGAGAGAGAGAGAGAGAGAGAGAGAGAGAGAGAGAGAGAGAGAGAGAGAGAGAGAGAGAG